AAAAAGAGACAAATGCAGTCATGATATTAGAATTGATCCTGGGGTCTGGCCACAACCGTAGGGACCTAGTTTCTGCGTCACAGCTTGGAAACAGTTGAGATCCCCACCCCATAACCATACATAAAATTGCTGGGCATGAAAAATTGAATACAGATATATATGCTACAAGGATTGGCCTTGGGGTCTGGCATATTCCCTTGGATCTCATTTGGAGAATATTCTGCCATGATTGCTTAGATATCAAGGTGAGCGATACAGGCCCTATGGGCCTCTTGTTTATATATTGCCGGGGCAGAGGAGACCGGGTATTCATATTAGTACTAATAATCGTTTAATTCAGCAATATAATCAAATCATACCATTTTACTGAACCCGGTAATATATAAATTATGTAAATCTAATAGCGCACGTATCTTGATGACCCCGAAAATACGCCGTGGGCCTTCACAACAGTTATCCGTTGGAGGGCCTGATGGCAAAATCAAACTAACCAGTCACTTATCCCTTCCTTTCGCATAAACCACTGTATAATCATAGAAACACAAAGTAAACTCTCTCCGATAAATGCCCATTAACATATTAAACTAAGTTCATCTGTGTTCAAACTCAGACAAAGATACTAGCAAGCTTAATAGTTTTAGATATTTATTCATAACATAAACAGCGCTAGCATTTCTGTCGATTCCATTTCAGCTTAACCGGCTATCCGAAAGAATACATGCACCGTGCTAACTGCTAAGGCAGTTATTTTCTCCTTTGAATACTGCCCACCTGCAATAATGATTCCGTAACGTACTCCTTGCGCTATCTTTTGACCATTTTGCAACTTTTCGTTTCGTAGCTGACACACTACAACACTTTTCTTTCGCTTACTTCACACGGCCAGTCATTTTGTTTACAAAGAAATGGTGTGTTATGCGCATGCGCTAGTAGAGGGAAATCCCTGAACGAAACATTGTCAGACAGGCAGAAATACCGATGATTTTCTTAGATTTAATCATTTTTATGAATCTATTTCAGCCAAATCCGATCGTTATTTTCCATAAGGAGTCTCACTTGATATGTTTATGTAGTATTTGAAAAAAAGACGAAAAATAAAGTTACTTCACCGTGATGCCCCTTTAAATGTTGGCTTTATGTTTTATAACTTTTGAATTAAGCTGTCATCAAGTCAATAAGATGTTAATTAACATTTTAATATTGACCAATTCAAGAAAATAAACTTTATATTCACCTCTTTTTTCTTTAACATGAAACATTTTTCTTATTTAAATATAAACCACTTTGTATATGTACAATGCACATAAATATTATGATCTTTTCTAGAAACATTTTATGGGTACTTCTTTATAAAATGTGTATAAGCACCAATCAAAATGTTTTAAAAAGTTTTTGAATTTCCTATGTGGGAATAACACCATAGCCCCTTGGGCACACCCAGTTCAACCGTTTCAAACAGAAGAGCCTGAAAAAACACAAAAGGTTTTGATCTGAGGCTGACCTCAGGAATATTTGACATGTGCATGTTGAGGTGTCCAGATGTGCTTGACCAAAACTGAATTCTTTTCAAGGAAACACAACAAGAGGCCCAATGGGCCTGAATCGCTCACCTGGTATTAATCTCACAAATAATCTTTAAAGTGGACTAAAATACAGCTACAGACAGAATATCAGTGTTTGACTCAGACGACTGTGACCTTGAATGTCTAACAAGGACATAAGGTTGAACAGAGTTTACAGTCGTCCAACCAAGCATACTTCTGGCAAAATATCATTACCCTGGACCTTTTGGTTTAAAATACAGAACAAGACATTTAAAGATTTAAACATATATTGACCACTGTGACCTTGCATATGGGCAAAGGTCATTCATTTGAAAAAAACTATTACTCCTTAATCCCAGCATGTTAATGGGCAAATATCATCACCCTTAGCCTTTTGCTTATTGAGAGGAGGTCGTTTAAATGTTTTAAACATATTTGACCCCTGTGACCTTGAAAATGGGTGAAGGTCATTTGTTTGAACAAACTTGGTAACCCTTCATCCCAGCATGTTACTAGCCAAATAACATTATCCTTTCCCTCTTGGGTATTCAGAAGAAGTTGTTTAAAGGTTTTATACATATTTGACCCCTGTGACCTTGAAAATGGGTGAAGGTCATTTGTTTGAAAAAACTTGGTAGCCCTTCATTTCAGCATGTTATTGGCCAAATATCATCACCCTAGGCCTTTTGGTTATTCAGAAGAAGCCGTTCAAAGATTTTAAACATATTTGACCCATGTGACCTTGAAAATAGGTAAAGGTCATTTGTTTGAACAAACTTGGTAGCTCTTCATCCAAGCATGTCACTGGCCAAATATCATCCCCCTAGGCCTCTTGGTTCTTCAAAAGAAGTCGTTCAAAGATTTTAACATATTTGACCCCTGTGAACTTGAAAATAGGTGAAGGTCATTTGTTTGAACAAACTTGGTAGCTCTTCATCCAAGCATGTCACTGGCCAAATATCATCACCCTAGGCCTCTTCATTCTTCACAAGAAGTCGTTCAAAGATTTTAACATATTTGACCCCTGTGACCTTGAAAATAGATGAAGGTCATTCATTTGAACAAACTTGGTAGCCCTTGATTCCAGGATGCTACTGGCCAAATATCATCATCCAAGGCTGTTTGGTTATTGAGAAGAAGTTGTTTTAAAGGTTTTAAACATATTTGACCCCTGTGACCTTGGAAATGGGAGAAGGTCATTTCTTTGAACAAACTTGGTAGCCCTTCATCCCAGCATGTTAATGGCCAAATATCATCACCCTAGGCCTCTTGGTTCTTCACAAGAAGTCGTTCAAAGATTTTAAACATATTTGACCCATGTGACCTTGAAAATAGGTAAAGGTCATTTGTTTGAACAAACTTGTTAGCCCTTGATTCCAGGATGCTACTGGCCAAATATCATCATCCTAGGCCTTTTGGTTACTGAAAAGAAGTTGTTTAAGTAAAAAGGTGGCGCCGGACTGACGGACGACAGACGCCGCACCATAGCAGAAGCTCACTTGCCCTTCGGTCAGGTGAGCTAACAACATATCATGATTATTTAGCCTACCAAGTTTCGAAGAAATCCGTCACACAATGTAGGAGGATATCTCCGGACAAAAAATCAAATACTGAAATGAACAAAGGGCAATAACTTTTGGAAAAATTGTTAAATCAAAATTCTTTTAAGGGAGACACAACTTCATATCATGATTATAATGTATACCAAGTTTCAAAGAGATGGTCAAAAAATGTAGGAGGAGAGTGCCAGACAAACAAAAGTTTACGCCGGATGGACGGACAACCCCATACCATAATACTTCTGTCAAATTTGACGGGCATATGAAAATAGGAATTATTTTCCCCAATTAAATCCATATTGTCCTTGTTAGACCCCATATGAACATCCATGCCAAATATTAGGACAATAACACATGATCCGACTGAACTGTACACCACTGAAGAAATATACCCAAACTTTAACCGGACAGACGGAGACGCTATACTATAATACCCCCGTCAAATTTCGACGGGCGTATAAAAAATCAAACATCCAGAGGGACCAGTACTGGTAAGAAGTTACTGGCCATTCACAAAAGTAACTTTTCTTTTTCAAAGGATCAGACAAAGACAAAAAAACTTGCCGGTCTGAGGCTCTCTGACATCAGAACACAAAAGTAGCAGGTCTCTGTTCAAGGGTACAACCACCAAAATATCACTTGTTTTTCAAGTGACCACAATCACTGATCTGAGCCTTTCTGTTCGTCAGATCAGAGTAACAAGGTCATTGGTTTCTGTTCTAAAAGAAGGAACAGGAGTTGCAGAGAGATTATACCAAGGACAGATGGTTGAATTTGTTAGTAAAGCTTATAAAGTATTCCTTGGTACTGATGATAGACTGAAATCTTTTTGCAGCTTCTGAAGTTAGGAAAAACACACACTTGTAAATACTTCAGTTGTTTAAATCTTCACCAAATATTGCAAACATCCTATTCTGGTTGTTTTGGCAGAATCAACAATGATGTAAACTGGCTATGTTCACGGTTTAATGCCTTCCGAATCTATACACTTGGCAATAGTGTTTAGTTGAATATTGGATGTCCCTTCATAAATAGCTCCTACAATACAAAAACAGGAAACAGTACCATTACAGTATATAACATTAATAACAGCAATATCATATACATATATACTATTACATATATAGAAATACAATTAGTCTTCACCGACATCCTTAATAACCATTGCTCCCATAAAATGGAGTTATCATCTCATAACCTTACCATAGAGTGTGACAAATTTCTACACACATATGGACTTATGTATGCACATTTTCCACGACTGAGACACACATGTGATCTCACCAGCAGAAGACGTTAGCCAAGATTTTATGAAAAATGTATTGAGCCGAACACACATTAATGTTACATTTGTATGAACATTAAATTGGTATCCACTATTCAATGCAATATGCTATAATGATAAGGAACAGTTCTATTTGTATTTTGGTCAGGTTTTAGGTAATAACTCCAGTTGAGCACACATATCTAGAATAGATGGCTGCACCAGTATATTAATCAAAGATGGCTGCACCAGTATATTAACCAAAGATGGCTGCACCAGTATATTAATCAAAGATGACTGCACCAGTGTATTAATCAAAGATGGCTGCACCAGTATATTAACCAAAGATGGCTGCACCAGTATATTAATCAAAGATGACTGCACCAGCGTATTAATCAAAGATGGCTGCACCAGTATATTAAACAAAGATGGCTGCACCAGTATATTAATCAAAGATGGTTGCACCAGTATATTAATCAAAGATGGCTGCACCAGTATATAAATCAAAGATGGCTGCACCAGTATAGTAATCAAAGATGGCTGCACCAGTATATTAATCAAAGATGACTGCACCAGTATATTAATCAAAGATGGCTGCACCAGTATAGTAATCAAAGATGGCTGCACCAGTATATTAATCCATCTATTCTATTTACATGTGCTCAACTGGATTTATCACCTCATAACCTGACCAAAATATGAAAGTGTTCCTCAAAGATAGTTAAAGACATTCTGCTATAACATGTAGCAGCTGTAATATGCTGACTAGGAGAACGATACTACAGGCTGATATAATGGATATATAACTACCATATATTAATGTATACCAGGAAACTTTTGTCAAATATTCAGCCTTCCATGGTAAAATCCATGTTTTCCCAGTATTAATTGACGCCCATAAAAAGTAATAACTATATAAGATATTCCCTCTTTTGACTAGAGATTTGTTTTTGTGAACAAAAACGTATGTCTCCCCTTCAACGGTTTAAAAGTTTCACCTTGACCTACACCTTTAAATGTTTGAAATAATCAGACATTTTTATCTTTGTCCTTTGGCCACAGTGACCTAATGATACTACATTGCACATCATCTGTGATGCTGTTATACTGCAAATTTCATCAAGATAAATTCCAATATGTCTCCCTTTATTCAAAGGGGAGACACAACAAACTTGCCCTCATTGCAAAGGGCAAAAAAGACGAAAATTAAATTGTGGCGAAAATTTCCTGGTAGACAGTATCAGGTTGAGGAGACAAAAATTCTTGTATAAAAGATCCAAAATTTATTGTAAATTTTTAGTTTTTAGCTCACCTGGTCCGAAGGACCAAGGCCTAGGTGAGCTTATGCCATACCGCAGCGTCCGTCGTCTGTCAACTTTACACTACTAGTCATGAACCACTGAGCAGATTTTAACAAAATTTGGTGTGGAGCATCCTTGGGTGAAGAAGAACCAATTTTGTATAAATGGTGGGTCTGTCCCCCCAGGGGCCTGAGGGGCGGGGCCCAATAGGGGAAATGTAGCAAATGATTCTTTAAAATCCTTCTTCTGGAGGAATGGAAGGATTTGTTCCATATTTGGTCTGAAGCATCCTTGGGTGAAAGGGAACCAATTTTGTATAAACCGTGGATCTGGCCCCCCAGGGGCCTGAGGGGCGGGGCCCAATAGGGGAAATGTAGCAAATGATTCTTTAAAATCCTTCTTCTTCTGTAGGAATGAAAGGATTTGGTCCATATTTTGTGAGGAGCATCCTTGGGTAGTCGGAAACCAATTTTGTATAAACCATGGGTCTGGCTCACAAGGGGCCTGAGGGGCAGGACCCAATAGGAGAAACATAGCAAATTATTCTTTAAAATCATTCTTCTTCTGTAGGAATAAAAGGCTTTGGTCCATATTTGGTCAGGAGGATCCTTGGGTAGTCGGAAGCCAATTTTGTAAAAACCATGGGTCTGGCTCACCATGGGCCTGAGGGGCAGGACCCAATAGGAGAAACATTGCAAATTATTCTTTAAAATCATTCTTCTTCTGTAGGAATAAAAGGCTTTGGTCCATATTTGAAATGAAGCAACCTTGGGGGAAGGCTAAAAAAGTTTGTATAAATGGTGGGTCTGGCCCCCCTGGGGGCTGAGGGGCGGGGCCCAATAGGAGAAACATTGCAAATTATTCTTTAAAATCATTCTTCTTCTGTAGGCATGAAAGGATTTGGTCCATGTTTGGTGAGGAGCATCATTGGGTAGTCGGGAACCAATTTTGTATAAACCATGGGTCTGGCTCACCAAGGGCCTGAGGGGAGAGGCCTAAGGGGAGGGGCCTGAGGGGAGCGGCCTGAGGGGCGGGGCCCAATAGGAGAAACATAGCAAATTATTCTTTAAAATCCTTCTTCTTCTGTAGGAATGAAAGGATTTGGTCCATATTTGGTCAGAAGCAACCTTTGGGGAAGGCGAACAAAGTTTGTATAAATGGTGGGTCTGGCCCCCCTGGGGGCTGAGGGGCGGGGCCAAATAGGGGAAATATAGCAAATTATTCTTTAAAATCCTTCTTCTTCTGTAGGAATGAAAGGATTTGGTCCATATTTGGTCAGAAGCAACCTTGGGGGAAGGCTAACAAAGTTTGTATAAATGGTGGGTCTGGCCCCCCTGGGGGCTGAGGGGCGGGGCCAATTAGGGGAAATATAGCAACTTATTCTTTAAAATCCTTCTTCTTCTGTAGGAATGGAAGGATTTGTCCATATTTGGTCTGAAGCATCATTGGGTGAAAGGGAACCAATTTTGTATAAATGGTGGGTCTGGCCTCCCTGGGGGCTGAGGGGCGGGGCCAATTAGGGGAAATATAGCAAATCATTCTTTAAAATCCTTCTTCTTCTGAAGGAATGGAAGGATTTGTCCATATTTGGTCTGAAGCATCATTGGGTGAAAGGGAACCAATTTTGTATAAATGGTGGGTCTGGGCCCCCTGGGGGCTGAGGGGCGGGGCAAAATAGGGGAAATATAGCAAATAATTCTTTAAAATCCTTCTTCTTCTGTAGGAATGGAAGGATTTGTCCATATTTGGTCTGAAGCATCATTGGGTGAAAGGGAACCAATTTTGTATAAATGGTGGGTCTGGGCCCCCTGGGGGCTGAGGGGCGGGGCCCAATAGGAAAAATAGAGGTAAAACCTTTAAAATCCTTCTCCGACCATCAGGATTAAGGGATTTTATCCGTATTTAGTGTGGAGCATCCTTGGGTGACGGTGACTCAATTTTGTATAATTGGTGGGTATGACCACCGTAGGGGCATAGGGTGGGGCTCTGTTTGTTCTCTATATCTCAAGGACTGGATGGATCTTTCTGAAATTTCATATGTACTAACATCACCTACCATGGAGTGCTATATCTTTACTTTATACCAATTACTTTAATTATATTCAGGTGAGCGATACAGGCCCTCTGGGCCTCTTGTTTAGATTTTTTACTTGCATTTCCCCAATTTACTTCTATGTTATCAGTACAATACCGACTTACTGACACTAGCTTTTCCAGCGATGTGGTATAACCCAGGGACCCGCTCACTACTTCAACAACATCAAGCATGGTCAGTAGTTGGATGGCTGACTGCCCGCAAGCTACATACCTATTACAGAAAAAACTATAAAAGACCTCTCACCTATTTTACAGTCTCTGTAGTACTTCTCTATAGGGTAGTCCTTGGTGTAGCCCACACCTCCCATCCACTCCAGACATTTTGTGGTTGTCAATGCTGCAACCTGTATGTTCAAATAAAAACACTGAAGTTATCATGTCAGATTATCAAGACAAATTAAGTCAGTCTGTAAACATACCTGATATTATTTCTAAAAGTTTTAACAATTATTGTTAAATGATTTAACAACTCAAAATATGTCATAGTAAAGGGTTATTTTGTCTCTAGGGGGTATATACATGTAAAGCATGCATAATCCCCCAAATGGTAATTTAAACAAGTTGGCAAGTATGTACCACTGATTCACATGATGTAGAGTATACCTCAGATGCATAGTACTTTGCCATAGCTGCCTCCTTGATGAACGGTTCACCCGCTTCTTTCTTCCGAGCAGCATTGTAAATGAGCAGCCGACAAGCCTCAATCTGAGTGGCAACGTGAGCTATTTGATGCTGCATGGCCTGTGTTTAATACAAAACAAATATATGTAATCACATTGTTTTTGTACCCTTTGTCCAAACAGCACATCATTACTATCTGATGAAATTGATTAAAAACATATACTCTGAAAATTCTTTTAAATCTAAAATTTCGAACTCAGGGATAGAAAATCTCAACAGAAAAGTTGACATCCTGCACAGAATAACTAATGACAGATTATTTTCTCACATTTGCACAGTATCAAAATACCATTTCTCAAGAGTTTTTTTTTATCTGTACAAAAACTGATAAATATATATACCACTCCAAACTGTCACAGAAATGTCTCTGGGTAAAACATGAGATAGGTCTGTCACAGGTGTAAAAAGAGACATTGTCTGTTGGATAAGATTTTGAACTTGACATCAAACACTGAAAAAGAACTTGACAAGTTTAGTTCAAAATATATACCTTCATGACATCTGTGATCTTCTTTGACTCAATTCTTCAGATTATAACCGAATTGTGTAACAAATGTAAAACAAAATAATAATGTTTTGACGACTGTAAAAAATGTCTTGATATACCTGAAAATCCCAGATACGTTTGCCAAACTGCTTTCTCTCCTGTGTGTATGGTATAGTTGCATTGAAGCAACCTTCAGCTAATCCTAACATCTGCAGATATAAAAGCAAAATGGGACACATCTAATGAAGCAGATATACTTAATAAACATTCCAAAGCAATCTCTCCAATTTCATTTTTTTCTGTCCTTAAAACAAACTGATTACAATATGGCGAAGTATTGCAAGCATTCAGTCTCAAATGTACAAAGGGCCATAACTCTGAAAAGAGGGGCACGAGATCAGAGTTCAGTGATTGTAGATGAGAGTATATGAGATCTATGTGGCCTGGACAAAGCGAGTTGAATGAAGGGCAATAACTCTGTATATGGTATGGTTTGACAATGGTACATGTATATGATATGGTAAAAAGTGATTTATGGGGATCAAAGGCCCTCAAAATTTGGTGTAGAGCAAAGATGCTCTACACCAAATTTGGAGTAAAGTGGACTCAATTTTGTATAAATTGAGGATGTGGTCAACTAGGGGCAGAGGGGGAAATAAATAGAGAAATTGATGTAAATCTTTAAAATTCTACTACTTCTGTACAAATGGAGGTATTTTTACCAAATTTTGTCTAAAACATCCTTGGGCAAGGGGAATTCAATTTTGTATAAACTGAGGGTATGGATCCCCCTGAGGCAGAGGGATGGGCTCATTAGAGAGAACAGTTAAAATGTTTAAAATTCTTCTTCTTTTGTATGAATGAAGAAATTCAATCTAAATATAGCGTAAAGCATCCTTTGGCAAAGAGGACTGAGTTTTGATAATGGAGGATGTGGCCTCCCTGGGGGCAGAGGGGTTGGGCCCTTAAGGCAAACATAGGGGAAAATGTTTAAAACCCTTCTCCTTTTGTATGAATGGAAGGATTTTAACCAAATTTGGTGTAGTGCATCCTTGGGTAAAAGGGACTTAATTTTGAACAAATGGAGGATGTGGCCCCCGGGGGCAAAGGGGCTTGGCCCTAATAGAGGAAATTTAGATAAAGCACATAAAGTCCTTCTCATTTTGTACAAATATAGTGATTTTAACCAAATTTGTTCTAGAACATCCTTGGGCAAGAGGAAGTCACTTTTATTAAACGAAGGGTATGGCTCCCCTTTGTGGCAGAGGGGCGGGGCCTATAAGGGGGAACATAGGTGAAAACGTTTAAAATCCTTCTCCTTGCTGTTTGAATAGAGGAATTGGGACCACATTCAGTGTAGAGCATCCTTGGGTAAAGGGGACTTAATTTTGAATAAATGGAGAATGCGGCCCCCTTGGGGCAGAGGGGCTTGGCCCTAATAAAGGAAATTTAGGTAAAACATTTAAAGTTCTTCTCATTCTGTACAAATAGAGGGATTTTAACCAAATTTTGTCTAGATCATCCTTGGGCAAAGGAAGTCACTTGGTATAAACCAAGGGTGTGGTATTAGTATTGACTCTTGGGTCTGGCCCCACCGCTAGGGACTTAACTTCTGGGCCATAACTTTGAAACGGTTGAGATCCCCATCCGATAACCATATATACATTTGATAGGCATAGACATATAAATACAGTCATGGTAATATAATTTACCAAGGGGTCTGGCCCTACCCCTTGGAACTTCTTTCCCTAGACATTATTTTTAAACGGTTCAGATCCCTACCCCATAGCCATATATACCATTGCAGGACATATTGATCCAATTGAGCGATTCAGGCCTTCTGGGCCTCTTGTTTTGATTACACTTTGCTAGTGAACATTAAGCCATAGGACATACCTGTGATCCAATTCCTATACGCCCTTCATTGAGAATGTCAATGGCATATTTATAACCATGTCCAACTTCTCCCAACACATTGGTGGCAGGGACCTGAAACAGCAAATGATAGAAAAGAATTGAATTGTGAAAATAGGAACCTGTGTAGAAAGAGACAAAACAAATTCTAACAAAATGTAGTATTTAACACCTCATTATCTTGGCTTGATCCGTAAAATTATGAGATCTGACAAAAGTTGCCAATGGAGTTGGGTGTTGAATTTCAATTTTTAATCATACTACCTTTGTCTATTAACAATGAAAAGTTACAAGATATATAACTTTGTACACAGCAACTTGAATACAATTGTGTCAAGATTTCAATGTTTTCAGTAAAAACTTAATTCAGAGAATCTTTTTGACTCTCCAAAATGAGCTGGACTCCTGTGTTTGAAAGGATCAGTCTATCTCATGTGTTTTAACCCTTGTAAACACAAGAGAAAATGTTTAATATTTGGCTTCTGATAATGGTAAACGTTACGGGTCAACTGAAAGTCCTGATCTTTTATAAACATTGTAAGAAAGCTGAAGTTTATATCTACATATGACTTTGTTTCAATTATATTTCTCACATAGAACAGTTGTTGGATTAAGCTGTGCTACATGTAAAAGATTCTGTAATATCATACTTACCTTGACATTATCAAAATGTACAGGACATGTACTTGAAGCTCGTATTCCAAGCTTGTCCTCTTTCTTTCCGATAGACAGTCCCTGGGTGTCTCTGTCTACCAGGAAAGTTGTGATTCCTTTGTAACCCTAAAGTAAAAATTATGATAATATACATACATATATTTGTAAAGTTCCCTATCTAATTTGCAAAATTACTCTAAGGCACAAATAATTGTATTCCTACAATGGCAGTTATAAATACAATAGATCAAAAAAGGCATACAAATCAGCATTTTACATCAGGTAAAAAGACATTTATCACCATGTGCATACAAATATAAAGATATATAGGGTGGTGTGTGCATGACGTCTGCGCGAAAGAGCCTAAATGCAGACGTAAAAAGATGGGTCTTTATATCCTTGACTTTAGCCAGAGTTTTTGACTTGCTGGTAGATGGTAGGCTATTAAACATTTACTTATCATTTGAACAATGTGTTAAACCCTGAAAAACTTACCTAACACAGGGACCATTTATCTTATCCTAAAACATATGCTTATTGTTGGAGTGATGTATGAAATATCTTATCATTGATGCATGTATACGTATCTAGCCATGAAACATCTACTTATCCTGATATGTTTTCTTATCGTTTCGACAATGTGTGTAACAGTGAAACTTTCATATATACTGTATATATCTATCTATAGTGGATCTGTCATTAGTTTCCATTCATATTAGATTTATGATACAAGTTTCGGATTTTTCATGTTTGCGAGCCTCTGGCGAATATTTTACACTTGATCGCCTCTGAAACGATGAAAATTGCGTCCGCTTCACAATGACGTGGCTTCACATTGATTGTTCCTATTCGATTGTGACATCATTTCCAGAGTGATATTACACACGTTACATTAACTAGTGTTGGGAATCGGTTGAGATTTCAACATCGATGATCAGATATAATCAGTTAGTGTCAACCGATTCATTTTCGATAATTAATCGGTTAGCCTACCGTTACATAATCCTTAGGCCTATTTCCTCCATAGCAGAGTTCGCCACCATTTTGATTTTATACTAGCTTAACTCAGCATAGTTTTGTATCTTTATTTTTTATCATACCATTTCAACATAACAATCAATAAATTTATTAATGAACAGTTATCATTTATATTTTTTGCAATTTATTATGTTTAAATAACATGATTGGCAAGAAGATATAGTTAAGAATAAAATGACATAGAACTCCAGTTCTCTCTTAGTTAAAATGAAAGAACAATCATCAATGTTGACATCTCATAATTGATTGTCAGGAATCGGTTGCCTTTCCGATTATAATCGATCAACGGAACAACACTAACATAAACATAATTTATGTGATTGCTTTATGACACTGCATAACATGGTATTCATATTATAAATAAATATATGGGCAAAGAAGTAATAACGACAGTGCAGACAAAGAAATTTGTCAAATGTTCAGGGCGACCTGCCCCTTTATCAAGACAGGAACATGAAAACTTACATATCATAACATATATAACAGAAAAAATTGTCACCATGAACAATAAACTAGAAATATGTCAGAATGACATGAAAGTCACCCTATCATTCTATATGATAATTTTCTGAAAAATCATTGACCAAGATTTTACTGATATATTTCCACCTGTCAATCAAAACAATGACCATGTGTAAATAAATACACACTGTTCAGGTAGCCATGCCAACACATGGAATTAATAAGAAGGCATGTCGCAAATATAACGTTAGTGTTGACTGACACGTCGAATACGGGGAGATCTGCGCGCTGACACAGTCACCTGGCATAGGCAGAAAAGGAAAATGGAATATCTTCATCTTCATCTATACCTTCCTCCGTTAATATTTTTGTCTTGTGCTGTAGTGCGTTGTTATGTACAGTGGTATTTTTTTTATATTGTTTTGTTATTTGCTATAGGATAAAAACAGGTTAAAAGCAGTGAGTGTTAGTTATGTTGCAGGTTTATTATAGTATGCTATCGTCTGCACAGTACTGTGTGATATGTATTCAGGAAGTCTTTGATGTATATGAGGAAGACGGCTGGTCCCAAACAGATTCCTTGAGGCACTCCATAAGTTCCTTCGGTATTCTGCCGTGTATATGGTCTGGGCCTGTTGCTTTGTGTGGGTTAATGTTATTTAGTAGTTTGTCGACTTCTTGGCATGTTATGTGTATATCTGGCATGGGTGGATGGGGCGATATTCCTTTGTCAGGTATTGTTGTGTTTTGTTCTGATGTGAAGGCTTCTTGGAACTGTTCATTTATTATGTTTGCCTTTGTTTCTGGGTCTGTTGTGAGGTGGTCGTTTTTACGTAGTGCTATGATGTCTGTATTTCTTCTTTTGTGGTTTTGATGATCGAGAAGAGTTTTTTAGGGGTGTACTTGTTCCTTGTGCTGGGGTCTTCAGGTTCTCCCATTGGTAGGTCTGTAATTATCTTCTCATTGTATTGTAGGTACGCGTCGCAGGTTTGTTTTTGCACTTCAGCTTTAACTGTTTTGTATGTGTGGATAAGTTTGTGGTTTGTCCTTGATTTGTGGTGGATGCGTTTAGACTTGTTTGTGAGGCGGCGAAGTGAGTTGTTCCTCCAGGGTAATCTGTGTTTGTATGTTAGTGATTTTATTGGAATGTTTTTTTCTGTAGATGTATGGAGTGTTGTTTTACCCAAACGTCTTCTGTGTTTTGATGTTCTAGGTCCTGAAAGTTGTTATTTAGATTAGTGAGGTCTTTCCTGATGTTGTCCCAGTTTACTTTGTTATATAGGTTAATGTTCCTAGGTGGTTTGCGTGTTTTTTGTAGTCTAATGTCTGCTCCTGTATATATGATGCTGTGATCTGCCTTGCCTATCGGTGGGACTATTTCTTGTTTCTTGTTTTTATTGTCGTCGATGATGTCTAGTAGGCGTTGATGTAGGGATGTGTCTGGTTTGCCTTGTCGTGTTGTTTGACCAATCTTTGTGTGGGAGGTTGAAGTCTCCGCTAATAAATGTTATTGTGTTGTCCTGTTTTCCTATTCTGTTCAGGGATGTTTCGAATTCTGTACGTGAATGTCCTTTGTCTGACAGTGGTGTGTAGTATGCACCTACTATGAAGTTGTGTGAATTTGACATTCTGATGTTGGCCAAAATGGATTTGTTATCTGTTTCTAATATTGTTGTGAGATGTATTTGTTTGTGAGAAGTACTCCACCGTGGCTTTGTCCTTTTGTGTTTGGTGTGCAGTCTTTTCTATATACTGTGTACTGTGTTATTGGAAAGTATTCATATTATGAAGTTGTGCTATTTAGCCATGTCTGTGCTTATGATGATGTACATATAACGATGTTGTTTCACAACAATAAGTTTCAGAAAAGATTCAATCTTATATACGGATAAATCTTAATTTTTTTTGGTCACGAAATACACTTTTCCAGGTAGTTTTCTGATCGTCTGCAAATCCGACTGAATCGGTCATTGATATCGACAGAGTGTGTAAGTGACAGTACCCAAATTGGATCACCAAACCATCATTTTATTAAATCATTGAAAAATTTGAGGAGGAATTATATTCATTTATGGTTGTATCAAAGGAAGAATATCGATGGTGTTCTTACAAACGAAATTAGCACTCGGGGCTCACTCGAGATATTTATAGAACACTCTGAAGTCACCAAAAAGTGATCTAATTTGGATTCTGATCCGATTTGGGTACTGCCTCCTTACGCTTAAAGGCAGTCACTCAAACAGGTCAGATGAGGACCGCCAACAGCCAAATCGCGAGACGTGAAGAACACCAAACAATTGTGTTTCAGCAATTCTCCTTTCAAAAGAAAAGATCGGAATGTATATGGCTTTCAAACTCAAACTTTTATCATTATCGGTTCAATTCGCATTGATGTCGACTTGTAAATTCCTGCCGTTATAGTATCACACAACCTACAGTAGACTCTTTGCGTTTCACAAACAGGCTAACTTCGCCACTTTACCAATGTCATTTTGACACATTCCTACTGTCAAGATTGAAGAGTTCAGCATGATTTTTACCCAAGATCGACATTTTAACCCCAGAGTGATACAATTCTTCGTTATGTTTCCCGATACGTGTTTTTTTTATCAATTCACAATGTAACGTCCTGAAAAGTTGGGCCTACTTTACTCGAGTTTATTTATCCGATTCTATCGTATATATATGACTTAAACTTGCAACTTTTCGTAATTGTTAAATTGGCAATGCAATCAGGGGTTATTCAACGAAATTTAGCCGTTTATTGCTGAGCATATTTCAAAACCTTTCCGAAAATCCTCATTTTTTTTTTTATCATAAATGGTCGCGACCAAGGACTGGTTTTGGATTGTTCTCAAGTATCGTGTACACCCCTTTCTTGACACTTCATCTTTCCTTAAAAAATTGTGCACTATACGCTAATATTTACGGTAGTCATTGGTCAGACATAAAATATCTAAATCAATCAATAGCAATTTATAATATGACAATTTACCCTTCGGGAGCCTCAAAGGTGCCTGATTCATACTCGGAACATCTTTAGGTTGTTTGTAATTCCCGTGTGAAATTTGGAATGCCTTTAAGTTTTATTCTATTCCTGTTTAAAAAGGAAATCAATATCTGAGTTATCAAAGAGCTTGTAATTAGCGCCTGGTATATTCCGACAGAAGCACACACTTAACAGCCCAAGACAAGGTCAAAATCTGGGACTGAAACCAAAATTAATAGTTCCCACTGGGGTTCCCACAGGGGTGACTAAAATTACATAAACAAACAGAAGTTACTTATATAAAATATGCTGTTGTAATTGCATATCCCGTGAGTTATTGCATATATCTATATATAAATATCAATACACTTTTTCTCATGTACTAAAGTACCAATACACTTACAGATGTAGGGTTAGCATTTGCCATGACTAAAAACATGCCAGCATGTTCAGCATTAGTGATCCAGATTTTGGTTCCATTCAGAAGATAGAAGTCTCCTTGTTTCAAGGCAGACATTTTCAAGGCAAATGCATCAGATCCAGATTCTGTCTCGGACAAGCAGAAACTCCCAACCTATAAATGTTTATATGAAAGTTACTTACTGCCTATAAAACAAGAGGCCCATGGGCCTTAACGGTCACCTGATATATTTATACAGAGAGTTGATTTTGTTTTAACATGTACAAAAATATTATTCAAAGTGACAAATAACAATAAAACCACCTTATTCAATATCTAGCATACAAATTTAAGACTACAAAGTATTTGAAACTAGCACCTCTGATTCTAAACAAGAAAAATGAAGAAATTTTAGCACACTGACTCCTTTGGGCCCCACCCTACAGCCCTTGGGGGCAGGGCTGGCTCAAAATTTTCAAAGTATCAAACTGTCAACTCAAGGTTATAATTTCAATCAAGTTATTACCATGTAATATTCAAAGTATCATTTGCCATTATAAACCATAATAAATATTTTTGCCCCCCCTCATTCCCAAGGGGGTAAACGTGAGACCCTAGGGTCATAAACCTTAAGACCCTTCCATCTATGAAGAGTGTTTGATCCTACCATATCTGGGTCTTTGAGAAGATTTTTTTTGAAATTTCAGTCAATTAAACCCTTTTTGGCCCCACCCATCAGCCCTGGGGGTCAGTCAGTGTGCATACCATCAAATCAAACTGCTATCCAATACTGATAATGCTAACCCAAATGAATTACTTCCAATGAAAATTAAACAAATGTTGGTCCAAATGTGATTTCCCTATATAAACTATAGTAAAGTTACCCCCTCCCCAGGGGTAAACGTGAGACCCCAGGGTCATAAAATTCACAATTTTGGTAGAGCACCTTAAGACCCTTCCATCTTTGAAGAGTGTTTTATTCTAACATATCTGGGTCTTGAGAAGTTCTCAAGATTTTTGAAATTCCAGTCAATTCAACCCTTTTTGGCCCCACCCAATAGCCCTGTGGTGTCAGTCAGGGCTCATATGTGCATACCATCAAACTGCTACCCAATACTGATAATGCTAACCCAAATGAACTAGAACACTGACAGGTCAGTAAAGGCCCCGTTTTGTGGCAATATATCCCCCATAATCATCAAGAATGACGCGTTGTTTAATTCCCACAAACATTGCTTCAAAGTGTCATAATGATATATTCACCAGCAAAAAAATACTAAATTTTACCTTGACCTTTGACCGAGTGACCTTGACTTTAAGTCAGTTGACTCTTTGTTAAATTCCGACCAACTTTGCTTCATAAAGTCATAACAAAATGTTCATCAGGGAAAAGATACAAAATTTGACCATGACCTTTGACACAGTGACCTTAACCTATGGTCAATTGACTCCTTGCTTAATTCTGAGAAACATTGCTTCAAAGTGTCATACCAAAATGTTCACCAGTGAAAAGATACAAAATTTAACCTTGACCTTTGACCCAATGACCTTGACATTTGGTCAGGTTGACACCTTGTTTAATTCTGATCAACTTTGCTTCATCATGTCATAACAAAATGTTCACCAGCGAAAAGATACAAAATTGAACCTTGACCTTTGAATCTAATGACCTTAACCTTTGACCTAAACTTTTTACCTCGGTGTCTCTTTGTTTAATTTCAAACACTTTTGCTTCATGTCATAAAATAAAATGCTCATTAGTGAAAGGCTACAAAATTTGACCTTGACCCCTAACCTGATGACTTTGACCTTTGGTCGATTGACTCCTTGTTTAATTCTGAGCATCATTGCTTCAAAGTGTCATACCAAAATGTTCACCAGTGAAAAGATACAAAATTTAACCTTGACCTTTGACCCAATGACCTTGACATTTGGTCAGGTTGACTCCTTGTTTAATTCTGATCAACTTTGCTCCATCGTGTCATAACAAAATGTTCATCAGTGAAAAGATGCAAAATTTGACCTTGACATTTGAACCAAATGACCCTGACCTTTGACCTTGACTTTTTACCTCAATGTGTATTTTTGTGAACTGAACATCTTGACCAAGTTTCATGTACATCGGTCAATAAATACCAAAGTTATCAGCCAGGAACAAAATTTGTGGACGGACAGACAGACAGACAGAGTGATTACTATAGGGCACCCGTATCTCCGATACGGGGCCCTAATTACTTCCAATGAAAATTAAACAAATGTTGGTCCAAATGTGATTTCCCTATATAAACTATATTAAAGTTAGCCCCTCCCCAGGGGTAAACGTAAGACCCCAGGGTCATAAAATTCACAATTTTGGTAGAGCACCTTAAGACCCTTCCATCTATGAAGAGTGTTTGATTCTAACATATCTGGGTCTTGAGAAGAAGATTTTTGAAATTCCAGTCAATTCAACCCTTTTTGGCCCCTCCCATTAGCCCCGGGGGGTCAGTCAGGGCTCATATGTGCATACCATCAAACTGCTACCCAATACTGATAATGCTAACCTAAATTTAATTACTTCCAATGGAAATTAAACAAATGTTGGTCCAAAATGTGATTTCCCTATATAAACTATAGTAAAGTTTACCCCCTCCCCAGGGGGAAACGTGATACCCAAGGGTCAAGAAATTCACAATTTTGGTAAAGCACCTTAAGACCCTTCCATCTATGAAGAGTATTTGATTCTACCATACCTGGGTCTTGAGAAGAAGATTTTTGAAATTTTAGTCATTTTGACCATTTTTGGCCGCGCCCCTCAGGCCCCTGGGGGCCGGAGACCAAACCGGCAACTACTTTTGTTGACCTTTGGCCATGGAAGGTTTCTGCAAAATTTCATTGAAATTGCATTGGTTCAGGGGTTTTGGAGAAGAAGTCAAAAATGTAAATTGTTTACGGACGTATGACGGTTGACGGACGACGGACGACGACGGACAAAAGGCGATCGCAATAGGTCACTTGAGACTTTGTCTCAGGTGACCTAAAAAACCTGTTGAATAGGGTAAGAAAGTTTTTGTACAAAGTGGACAAATTTCTATTGCATATTTATTGCTTATTACTCATTCCTGTCTGACATCTTTGAGTCTTGGATAAAATCTATAAAATGTCTGTAAGATTTACTTAGATATGACAGCTGTTGCTCTCATACACAGTGTCATTGTTGAAAATTCCTATAAAAGAAATGGTTACTACAGCTTTGACATGAAACTCTGAAACAGGAACTCATTCAAGTTATTCTTTTACTTGATCTTTGCATAAAGTTTGATCAAAACCCATCAAGAAACAAAGTCTCTAGAGCAATGACACTGGATTAGAATGGGATGCAATGCACCTTAAAATAGTGGGGGCATAACAATATAATACCACACATGTATCACAGAAAAACAAGTAAACTGTCTCCAAAAGGTTTTTGGCTTTTTATGGGAAAATGTATTGGATTGGGAAATTGGGAAAGACAAAGTCTAAGTTAACATACCTGTACATGTAAAATAATATTGCAAGAATGTTTTGTATAAAGATCATTTACAGGACTTCAGATGACAGTATGCTGTTATTCTGAGGCTACCAGTTTGCATGCATGAACATGTATGTAATTTTCAAGATATATACCAAAGGATATGTGAAATTCTTGTAAATATGTCTTTGTAAACACATTGTAATTGAAGAAAATGGTAGGCTGGTAGTATGAGCAAGAAATGATTTTTTTCATATGAAGGCAACAGCCAGACCTACTTACCATGTCTGTGGCAAGACGAGGAAGGTATTTATCCTTCTGCTCAGAGGTGCCAAGCTTGAGAAGGAGGGAGTTGATGAGGGTATTATGTACGTCACACATAACGCTGACCGATGCGTCCACTTTAGCCAGTTCCTCTATAACCAGATTGGCCATGAAGAAAGACCCGTTGGTACCACCATACTCTGAGGGAATCTCTACACCCATCAACTGACAAACAGCAATTATCATCAATGATTTAAAATCATCAATGACTTAGAAGGGATTTCTAGAATTAACCAATCAGAGCCAATATCGGTTATTAATCAAAATGATTTTATGGTTATCACAAGTAACCATTCAGAAGTATTTATCTTTAGAAACCAATCAATGCACTTACCGTAAGTAACTGATCACTCATCAACATTGTGTACATCAGTGTAATGTATAAAGGTACAGATTTTAACAATATGTTTAAAAACATCCTGGATGTGAAACTTATGAAAATATCCTATTGAGCAAAGCAGGTTCTTAAAATGTGGTAGAAGGATAACATATTCATCACTATCAGACTTCTGTCACTAAATACTGCTACATACCCAACAATCTTAAAATCACAAATTTATAACAGTTTGAATTTATATTTTTTGCTTTAATAATGACAATAATATGTGCAAATCAAAGCTGAAAACAAGTTATTTCAAAATTTACCCCATTTTTAAATAAAGCCTCTATAACAGATTTGTCCATCTGGCTCTCTGCATCCATCTTCCTTACTAGAGGCTGGATGACCTCTCGTGCTACTTTTGCCACTGGAAGATAAAATCCATTTCTAAATTTAAGGACTGAAATACATTTTATGATGGTACATGTATGACGTATCACAGTTCTGTTCAAACCTTTCCATCTGGTAGCAGCTGTTGGAGAATATGTTGAACAGATCTGTGTTGCACATCATCATAAATTATAAAAAGAGTTATTACTTTAAACCCTTATACTTCAGTTCAAAACAGTAAATATTGGTTTTTGTTTTTCTCAAAACATTAACATTCTAAACAACCTGTTTTACCAGATAGAGGAAAAGCCATTTTTGTTGGAACATTCAACACTGTCATGTTTTTGTGGTTTAGTTCCGTCAGGTGACAAACAGACACCATTTGGAAACTTCTGTCTCAGTTTGGATTTGATGTCACATCATGACTGGTCTTGGATTACTCTAACAATGTAACAGAAATACCAATACAGTTTCAGATGAGAAAATATTCACCTGTGAAATGTCTTGCTGTCATTCGTTTATTACGCCATTAATGGTTGGGAGATTTATGTAAGGGCTGAATAAAGTGAATGTTAATATTTGTTGATGCATGTAACAATTTCATTCAATGGTAATTTACCTCTAGTATGCTTTACAATTACCTGCACTAGAGATACAGTACATATTCTTTCTACTATTACAGAAAATCACATGAAAATATTTCGAAGCCTTTTCCTTGATGTCAAGTCAAGTACCAGTTATTTAATTTGAATTTGAATTTTATTTATTTACTTTTATCTGAAACAAATATTTATGAAAAGGTATAGCAGAAGACCAAGAATGTGTTGGTTAAAGCTATTCATTAATTGTTTGATATCACTCCAGATCCTGTAATTACAGTATTTTATTACTAGATAACAATGAAAGCCTTGTTTGAAATACCTAATTAAGCTCACCTGATTCTTTCATCATGGTTTCCTCTGCAGTCAGGAGGTCAACAGGTGGCCTGATTTCCCCTATATCCTGGCCATGTTTGAATTCTGGTGTCAGTGATGTGCATGAAGAGTTGAATTGTTGAGCTCTCAGACATTTTCTTACCCTTGCAGCAGATAAAAGCTGTGGTGTCTTCCTGAGGGTGTGACAAAGACTCCGAAGGGTCTGCATGTGGAATAATGCAAACTATTGTAGTTAATTTAAAAAGTATAACAGGGACTTCACAATAATCAACAAGAAGATTAAAGAACATGTCTTCACTGACACTGATAATACCTCTTCAGCAGCTGGCCTTCTGTTAATTGGTTTGTCATCAATCAAAAAGATTATGTATGGTAGCGACTGGGTACGGAAAATTATCTTAGCAGGACTTCATGTCAATACTAATTAAGTATGTATGGTAATGACTGGCTAAGGAAAACTATATTACAGGACTTCATGTCAATACTAAATTAAGTATGTACATGGTAATGACTGGCTAAGGAAAACTATCTTACAGGACTTCATGTCAATACTAATTTAGTATGTACATGGTAATGACTGGCTAAGGAAAACTATCTAAACAGGACTTCATGTCAATACTAATTAAGTATGTATGGTATTATGACTGGCTAAGGAAAACTATCTAAACAGGACTTCATGTCAATACTAATTAAGTATGTATGGTAATGACTGGCTAAGGAAAACTATCTTACAGGACTTCATGTCAATACTAATTAAGTATGTATGGTAATGACTGGCTAAGGAAAACTATCT